AACATCATCATTAGTGCTCAGGAAAAATAATGATCCATGGAGGATTGGATGTGGAAACAGAGGAAAGAATTGAGTCCACAAGAAACCCAAGGTTTTGAGTTGGGAGACTGGCAAAATTGTGGTTTCAATAGCAAAAATGAGTAAGACAGGAAGAGAAATGAGTTCAAAGATCAGTTTTAGACAAGTTGAAAGTATTTTTCTTTCATTATCAATAAACAATAAGACATGCTACTTTATACTTAAATTGTTTCCATTTGTCAATTTTATATTTCTTAAAGGCTCTCAGGTTATCACCAAATAATGTAGCATCATATATTTAAAAAAGGTCATTGGACTGGGAATCAGAAACCAATTGAGTTTGTTCTGGACCTACCATTCATTGAAATGCTTACTGAACATTTCCTGTATGCCATGTACTATGTTTATCTGCTGGAGTTGGAATGGTGCAGTACCTGTGCCTTATAGGAGTAATAAAGAAAACTGATTAATCAGTTACATGCAAATAAGTATGTAAATATAAGTATTTTTAAAAAGTAGGTGTCAGCTATGTATGAATTCATAACATCTCAGGGACCTGACTAACATGAGGGTCAGGGAAGGCATTTTTGAAGAAATAATAGTTGAGATCTGATAAAAGAAGTAGGAGCAAAATGGGGGGCAGTTTTCTAAGAAGAGAAGACAGTACCTATGAAGGGCTGGTAATAGGAGGCAGCGTGTCCATTTTGAATTGGTAAAACCAGAGAATAAGGGTGGAATGGAGAGGGTAAAGTGAAGGAGTCTTTGAATGAGTCTGATGAGATGGGTAGAGTCCAGATTATGCAAGGTTATGTAGTCTCTCTTCAGATACCTATCCTGAGAGCAGAGAGAAGGTTTTAGAAGAGTTCAAATAGAAGGTTATCTGAAGAGATGGGCATTAAAAATGGAGAGGGAGAAAGAGAGGTGGTTGCATTGTAGAGAACAGAATAGTGAAGAGCAAAATTGGTTGCAGAAACACCCAATAGGGGCTGTTACCGCCTGGACAAGAAATGATGGGTGCTTGTACCCAGAGTGGGGGTGAAAAGGAAAAGAAGTGAAAAAGAAGAGGAAGGCAAATTCAACAGAACTCAATGGATTGGATTACCGTGCTGGGTTTAGGGAGTCAAACATGATCCTCAGGTTTCTTTCTGGCTTATGCAACTGATATATGGTGTTGCCATTCACCAGAATGCGGCTCCATGGGAAAGCAAGCAGGCATGTACTGGTGGAAGTTCTTAAGTTCAGTTCAGGGTAAGCTGGGTTTGAGTTACATTTGAAATACCCAAATAGAGGCTCAAAAATGGGCCTTGACACATAGATGGGAAGGAAAAGTCTAGGAAGGAGGTTAACCATTTGGGAATCATTGGAATGTAGATGACAATTTAAAAGACTAGTGTGCACAGAACATTAGGGTTGCAGCATGAGATAAGGAGAGGGCTCAAATTCAGTCTTTAGAAGGAGTTGAGGCATTTAATATCCAGGTAGAAAAGGATAACAGCAAATGAGAATGAGAACATGTAGAAACACAAAAGAGTTAAGTAAAAGGAGAGTATTCTAAGACAAGAGGGTGAGAAAGAGTGATCAGCAAATTCCAGACCTTTGGGAAATACCTATAATCCCTTTATTTATCTGTTAAACCAAAAAATAATGACTTCATACCTGAGTATTGTTGTAGTAACCAAATCTAATGAAGTTTGAGGAAATGTAAATCTGTAAGTTGTTCTCTTATGTAATTACTCTCAGTTCTGGGTTTTATTTTGTTTTCGAACACTGGGATCATTCACACCCTTATCTTACTCTTCCAGGCCTCTTAGAACACAAGCCAAAAATATATGAATTTGAAAGTGAAAATGTTTTCAATTCTTTTTGCATAATTGCCTGGAAAGTAATTCTACTCAGAACCTGGAACATCTCTCCCACTTGATTTTCTTTTTCCTTTTCCTAAGAATCTAGAAATCTTCAGAAAGTACTTTGTGTCCTGTGAGTATAGGCTTGAGCACTTCAATTCTAGAAATAAACTTAGTAGGTAAACAGCTTCCTGTGATTAAATGGCTAGCTGTGGAGTGTAAGAAGCTTCTGGTATTCAGGTAACACCTTACTGGTACATTCTCCATTTATCATGGTATAATATAAACCTTGTCACAAGCTCTTCCCGCTTTGACTTTTGGAATAGTTATTACTTAGCGTTCAGGAAGAGGGAAGGTCAAATGAGAGTGGAACCCCTCTCCACACAACTTGTCTGTCCAAACCCTTGGCACAGTAACTGTTCCTTAATCTCACTGCTGATTGGGAGTGGAGTGAGCTAGCACCAAACCCTCACTCTGCCTCTAGGTCAGATGCTGGGCTTGTGACAACAGTTCCAACCACAAGCTGACTACTATATACAAATGATTCATTTCCAGCCTTCTGCTTTCCTTTAAAGAGTCAGCTGTCATGTGCCGCCTCTGACTCACTGAAGTTCCTTTGCCCCGAGGAAATAAGCACCCTACAGATGCCTGAGTTCCAAGCCCCTCCTAAGCCAAAAGAGTCATGTTGTTTCTATGATGATACAGCACAGAAGCATCCTGGCTAATTCCCATTTGTTGTCCTGCCGGTAAAAGCACCATCATTTCTAAGCATGAGAAGTAAGAGAGAAGGCAATTTGTATTTCTTTGTTTATGCAAGACAAACCTTAAGCCAGTTGTGGCATGCAAAATATTGAAGAGCGAATGTGTGTACATCCAAAGGTTCTAATTCCCTATTATGCTTATGAGGCAGTGCAGAGACTTTCAGAAACTTCAGGAAGTGATCCTAAACTTTTCATACTCTATAAACTGAGGCTTACCCTAACGAAGCCCCACAAAGGACAATGATCTGATGATCATCTCTTTCTTATTTTTTGTTAGTTTTTAAAAATTGTCCATGTTTCTAAACTGTAGTTTTTCCTATCAGCTACATATCAGCTACATAACAAAAAAAAAAAATCTGTTAGTTTGAAATGAGGATTTCATGTGAGAAGGAAGTTTTGGTGGCCACAATTTTACAATCTCATTTTCTGAAATCCTCCGCAAACGTGTTCTTTATATTCCAGCATGGGTCAGCTATCATTAGCTTTTGCCAAATGTTCATACTGTTGAGGCCACAGATGGATGAATCACCTATTGCCTAACTGAATTCAGCTAAAATGTGTCACTGGCAGCATCATTATTACAGAATTGTGCCATGGTACCACTCTGTCAGTATGTTTTGCTGTTGAATGTATTATTGATAGTCATCAATCAAATGAGCAAGAGCAAGAAATGTTTTAGACTTCTGTAGGAGCTATGTTACCTTATATAAATGAAAAGTAATTATATAATTGAATACAAATTCTAACCCATATAGTGATTTTTTAATATTATGGACCTTGACATTGTTAGCAACCATTTTATGGACTAACTTAATCACATTTTATAAGATAGCTTATTACTTGTATTTGTTATGATATAGTCTCATATAGTCTCTATGAAGAAAATTCAGTTTATAGAAAATTTATTTTTAAATAATTTCATCACCTAGGTAACCTGAAGTTTCAAAGTGAAAGTAAGCATTTAAGCATATGGTTAAAATCTGCTTAATGAAGATCAGATTCATTGAAAAATACAAACTAGTACCTTTATTTAATAAAGAACAAAAATCAGAGGTCAGCTTTTTCCATGATCAATAGCAGCCTCACTACCTCAGTAAGATAAGATGGGAAGTAACACTTCCCATCTTCAGTGATTTTAAGGGAATATCACAATATTCGTAAAACAAAATCCAGTAAAATTTGATTTCTAAAATATTTCATGCAGTAATTTTATAAGTAAGACAACAGTGTTCTGACATTGACAAAAGGTTGTTATTAGATTCAATTGATTAAATTCACAAATGTTAAGCATCTATTCCATAAAAGACATTAAACAAAGCTTTTTAGGCTATACAAGAAAATAAAATGGGCTTTGCCCTCAGGGAGCTTTAAGTTAATGAGGAAGACACATTACACAGTTCCAAAAGTTTAATAACAGTTTAAAACAAATAATAATGCATTTTGAACTGAAGAAGGTATCAAGAGATAGCATATACATAATTGCCAAGTGAGTGATACAGATGCTGCAGGCATTCAAAAAAGAGAAAGAACACTTGAGGCAGATGTCAGTAGAAACAAATTCACTGATTTGAATTTGTTTTGAGCCAAACCAACTATTAATAATTTTACCAATTATGGGCTAGGAATAAAAACAAATCATGATTGGTGTTGGGTTGACCGCTATACCTGGAGGCTTTCATCTGATTATCTGTCTACATCTACAGTATTGATTCATATGTCACTTCTTCAGTTTGTAGAGTTTACTAAAGGCCATTTGTCTAAATACGAAGGCCAATCACAGTGTCAGCATCCTCTTGTAGGGTTAGTTGAGCAGAATAGTGAGAAAATGCAAATAATTATATAAAGTTCAATATCTCAATGCAAGATATCATCTTCACTCTGAAGATAGACATACATGCTTACAATGATACTTGTTAAGATTATTGTTTTTAACAGCATTTGTTAACTATGAATCAAAATATGTTTACTAATCCAAGCAAGTTGTTTAAGGTAGTAAAAACTAATGTTTAAAAACATAGCCTTGATCCTTCAGGTGACTTGTTTTCAAACAAATGGAAAATAGCAGTAACTTTTCAAACATAAATATATATAAATATATATATATATAAATATATAACTCTCAGGGGTTACCTGAGAGTGATGTTTAATTCAGATTTTGGCTGGGCACAGTGATTCATACCTGTAATCCCAGCACTTTGGGAGGCGGAGGTGGGAAGATCACTTGAGCCCAGGAGGTCAAGGCTGCAGGGAATCGTGATCACACTTGCACTCCAGCCTGGGCAACAGAGTGAGACCCTATCTCAAAAAATAAAAATAAAAAGGAATATTTTATAAGACTTTGTCTTTTATTCTCACCCAGCTATATTTTTGCCTTTAGCACGAAAGCAAGAGATTATCAAAGTCACTGAACAACTGATTGAAGCTATCAACAATGGGGACTTTGAAGCCTACACGTGAGTAGCAGATGTTTACCTTGCTCTCATACATATGGAAATGTATTCTTCATATGAATGCATTCTTCAACATATATGAATTCACATATATTTAATTCAAGGTTTGATATGTCAGCAATAGTTTTATTTCATGGTATAAGTGACTAAGTGCCCTTAGGAGATACAAATTTATTTAAAATCTCAGAAGCCAGGCACAGTGGCTCACACCTGTAATCCCAGTACTTTGAGAGGCCAAGGTGGGAGGATTGCTTGAGCCCAAGAGTTCAAGACCAACCTGGGTGACAAAACAAGACCCATCTACAAAACATTTACAAATTAGTCAGGCTTAGTGGTACACACCTGTAGTCCTACATATTTGGGAAGCTGAGGCAGGAGGATCACCTAAGCCCAGGAGGTCGAGGCTGCAGTGAAACATCATCACATCTCTGCACTCTAGCCGGGATGACAGAGTGAGACCATGTCTCAAAAAGAAAGAAAGAAAGAAAGAAAGAGAGAGAGAGAGAGAGAGAGAGAGAGAGAGAGAGAGAGAGAAGGAAGGAAGGAAGGAAGGAAGGAAGGAAGGAAGGAAGGAAGGAAGGAAGGAAGGAAGGAAGGAAGGAAGAAAAAAGGATTTCACAGATAGAATTGACTTCTGATCCAACAAGTGGAGATTTCTTTGTAAATATGAAGATGTATAACCACTTCCACATCACACATCACACACACACAAGTTCAGATGAGAAAAGGGCATTCTAGGCAGAGCAATTCATGTGAACAAAAACACACAAAAATAGGAAAGGACATAAAACGTGCATTTCAGCTTTAGAAATGTCTCCCCTTGCAGTTCTGCAGAAGTTCTGGGGCAGAGAAGGAGATTAGGAGGTGACCTGAGACAGCCTTCTCTTCAACCAGTACAGCTCAACTTTATCTGCATCTCTTTTATATGTTTGTATCTCAAGGAAAACGTTACTTGAAGAATGGTTATTTAAAGTTTATGCTTTATTTAAAGTTTATAAACTCCTGAATCATAGAAACTATGAAAGAAACTACTTTGCTGAAGTAAAAATAAAGCATTCAATTTAAATAGGGCCTTCTTACACCATGCAATGAATGAGTTCCACTCCAGTGAAAGGCTTAAATGCAAAACAGAGATTGAATCTGATCTCTGGCTAGACAGATCCAAAAGCTGAAGAAATAATTGTAAGTGAGAACATGATATGACTATACCTAAATAGGTAAAACATGTATACTTTAATTAAAAATCCAAAATAAATGTAAGAGACAAACAAACTTAGAAAAACATTTGCAAAATATGTATCAAGAGTTCATTTTTTATATTGTGTGAATATGATTGAAAAGTAGAAAAATAGGTAAAGGACATGATCTATTATCAGAGGAGGAAATATAAATGACAAGTGAACTAATAAAGGCATGTTTATGTTTACTAATTAAGTATATGCAAACTTGAATGCAAGAGTCTCTTCTGCCTATAAAATTAGCAGAGATATAAACTCTGCCGACAGCCAGCAAGGTACAGATATTGCAGGACAGTGGTGACTTTCCTACACCATGGATGAAACATAAAGATAGTGTTTCAAGATAGTGTTGGCAACAGGGATGCGGGAATTAATAATATATTTTGTTATATAATCTGTTATATACCTGAAAGCTTTTATAAAGGCTCATTTTACTGTAATACTCTAATTTTACTTATAAGAATTTAACATGAGTATAAATGTTTTATGTAAAACATGAACAAAAATTTGTGAATGAAAATATATACTGAATTCATAATAGTGAAAAATTAGAAACAATGTATATGCCCAACAGTACAGTTACCATTAAGTCATCTTGGTACAGTGTTTCTGTTGAGTTTCTAGTGATCTGGAAAAATATTTATGATGTTTTTACTGAATATTAAGCAGGGCATAAAAAAGTATGTACATAATTATTCCAACTACAGAAGTAAAAAATATTAAAAGTGGAATGAAATATGCCAAATTAAGTTTTAAAAAGAAAAAAAAACAAGTTGCCTCTGAGAGGTAAAATTATGTGTGAATTTTTTTCCTGCTTTTTAATTCTTCCCAAGTTTTACATAAGCAAGTATTACTTTTATCTTTAGTTATAAATAAATACCAAATATAAAATATGGAAGAGATTAGCTAAATGTAAGAATGAAACTAAATCAGGAGCTTCTTATAAATTAAATGTGTGTGCCTATGTGTATAAACAGATCCATATGCATGTGTTTGAGTGTATCACTTCTTTATAATGACCTAATAAGGCATACTTGGAATAAAAGAAATAGTTTTAAAAAATGGAGTTAAGAAAAACAGTCTGTTTTCAGAGACAATGATTTCCTATTAAGCAATTGTTTATAGCTGTGCCATAGAACCTGCTTTTTAAAAATCTTTATTGCTGTTATATCTTTGTTAGATACATATGATTCTCCAAAGAATAAAAATATTCTCTTTTAAAAAATCTTTTTTGTGGAAGGATAAAAAGTTTGTATTTGCTGTTGTTAAAAAGTGAAAAAGAATTTGCCTCTGAGAGGTAAAATTGTATGAATTTTTTTCTAAGTTTTTCCTGTTTCTTTTCTATTCTTCCTAAATTTTATATAGACAGATACTATTTTTATATAGGGAACAATTGTAGCGAGACAAAAGTATGTATTTTCTATTTTCTTAGACAGTTTAAAATAGGGTGTTTTAAATAATGCTAAACCTTGGGATCACATCAGTTGACTAATATCTTTGCCTATGGAGACCTATAATTTGGCCTAATTTTGTACTTTCCAGCTAGAGCTAATCCAACAGGGCTTCCATTTGAGAGCTTTTGGGATGGTAGAATGTACTGGTGTAGCTCTGTCAACTGGTCCTTAGAACACCTGTTCAGATCACACACACCCACATGTCACGTGGCAGCTTTGTGAATCTTTCATTAATCCAAAGACTTTTATAGGGTGGATGGATGATAGATAGGTAGATAGATGATAGATAGATAGATAGATACATAGATACATAGATACATAGATAGATAGACAGATAGATTTTCAAATATATTGACTTTTCATGGCTGGGTAAAAAGATCCATCATGGCACAGTTATTCCCAAATTATGTTAGTACTGATGTAAGCTAGTAAGAAATTTTGGTTCACTGATAATGACAACTAAAAACCATATTTATAGAGGAAGTAATAGCCCCTGGCAGAATAAATTCTTGTTACCATAGGAACACTGTTCTTCCCATTTTGCTTCTTAGAAAGAGACTATATATATTTGATTTTAAGCTTAAGAATGCCTGTCCAGTAGGCAGTCTGAAGTGAAGGCTGTAATCCTTGCCCCCACCATCTTTAAGGTACAAGGGATATCCACTGCGATTTCTACTTTTTAAAAATATTCTTTAAATAACACCAGTTCCACATTCTATAAACAGTACTGCACTTTGAGGAATTAGAGTGAGTTAGACCTTAGAAATTTGTATTTCTATTGAACATTTGAGAAATTTTGCCCCCCAAATGGGGAATTTCTCTATGAAATTATATGTGTCCCTATCCACTGTCTTACCATTTGGGGCAAATTAATAAATAGTCCGAAATCCTTTGATTTGTACTCCATTTGATCCAACTTGTGAACTCCCACTCATTCTTCAAATCCAGATCTTGTCACCATCTCTGAGAAGCCTACACTGATCACCATAGGCCCAAAGGAAATATTTTCCTCTCTACATTTCCAGGGGCCTTACACATGTAACACAGTGACCCTGATTTCCATATCAAACAACCAGTCATCATTTTCCAAATGTACTTGCATTTTCACAGCAGCAGACCATTGCACTTACTGCCTTCCCACTGCCCACCACCTCCCACACACCTGGAAAACTCCTACTCATTCTTCAAAGCCCAGCTCACATTTTCTTCCTCTCTTAAACCTTTCCTCTTCACCATCTATTAGTAATCTGTTTTTGAGTGCTTTGCATTTCTATCTATTCTAATATTGATTATTATATTATAATTGCTTGTTTTGAAGAGTATCTGCTACATAGTAGGTGTTCAACAATTCTTTACGGATTAAATAAATTTCTCCAAAGAAAGCTCATTCATTTTTTCTGAATATTTAAAATTGTGTACCCTTTTATTGAATCATACTTTTAGAATTAAGAAAGAAAACCAATATGTGCATTTGAACCTCCTACTGATTTCATTTTAAAAGTAAAATAAACTTAAACACAAGCTGCATAACTCTAATGGACATTGCCAGGAAGTATAGGGGGTGATATTTTACTTCAAGCCAATTGTAATATACATGTTTGACATGAATGCAGAAGACGTGGTCCATAAAAAAATTATTCCAGGGCTAAGCACGGTGGCCCACCCCTGTAATACCACATTTTGGGAGGTCAAGGTGGGAGAATCACTTGTGCCTAGAAGTTCGAGACCAGCCTGAACAACATAAGGAAACCCCATCTCTACTAAAAATAAAAATAAATTAACCTAGTGTGATATTGTGCACCAATAGTCCCAACTACTGGGGAAGCTGAGGAAGGAGGATTGTTTGATTATGAAAGGTCGAGGCTACAGTGAGCCATGATTGCACCACTACACCCCCAGCCTGGGCAACAGAGCCGAGACCCCATCTCAAAAAAAAAAAATTATTCCAGAAGTATATAATTTCAGAACCAAAGATAGGTTTATAGGATTTGGAGAGTGTCTTAAACTTGGACTATAGGATCTGGAGAGCATTTTAAAAAAAATAATAAACCTCAATCAAGTGTAAAGAACTGGAAAATTCACCTTAAAAATTAAAAAAAAAGCAGAAATTGTAAAAAGGGGTCTCCTAAAATATTGTATATTATCATCTGCTTGAGCTGGTTAAATTAGTTTGTTCCTATCAGAGTTCTCTGCAAAATGTCTTTTTAGAGTCTGCTCCTCAACACATCTTGCTAAGATTTGTCATAGAACTTTATATTTGTTTTTAGAGACTGTTCCCTTCAGTGACTGATGAATAAGAATGTTTACACGTGAAACAACAAAACACATTAAAGCACCTATTAATTGGTTGTTTTCATTATTTTTCTTTTACAGAAAAATCTGTGACCCAGGCCTTACTGCTTTTGAACCTGAAGCTTTGGGTAATTTAGTGGAAGGGATGGATTTTCACCGATTCTACTTTGAAAATGGTACATGTATACCTAATTTTATAACAAGCCCTTTTTCAACCACTGAATTTTTCCCAAATTTGCAGATTCTCTGGCTCTTTTCTACAATAAGAGTTTTTACCTTCATCCAGCATTTAAAACCATACAATTTTTTTATATTCAAAATTGAAAAAACATAATATGTCAGGCTTGGCTTACAGTTTTGGTGTGTTTTGAAAAATATATTTATATAAAAATTAATGCTTGCCAGGCACAGTGGCTCATGCCTGCAATCCCAGCACTTTGGGAGCCCAAGGCAGGTGAATCAGTTGAGGCCAGGAGTTCAAGACCAGCCTCATGAACATGGTGAAACCCCATCTCTACTAAAAATACAAAATTACCCAGGCATGGTGGCGCACACCTGTAATCTCAGCTACTTGGGAGGCTGATACATGAGAATCGCTTGAACCTATGAGGCAGAAGTTGCAAGGAGCCAAGATCATGGGACGAGCAACAAGAGTGAAACTTTGTCTCAAAAAAAAAAAAGAATGTTGATTGGAATACACTTCATGCAAGTCTCAGTTAATAATATAAGCTATAAATAAATTACAAAAAAAATGTTATTTTAACTTTTCATAAAACTATATATTAAAAAAATTAGACAGGAACCAGTGGTTCATGCCTGTAATCCCAATAGTTTAGGAGGCTGACGTGAGAGGAAAGCTTGAGGCCAGAAATCCAAGACCAGTATGAGCAACAGAATGAGACCCCATCTCTACACAGAAGCCAGGCATTATAACAAGCACCTTTAGTCCCAGCTACTTGGGAAGCTGAGATGGGAGGATCACTTTGAGCTCAAGAAGCTGAAGTTGCAATGAGCTATGATCATGCTTCTGTAGTCCAGCCTGGATGACCAAATGAGACCCTGCCTCAAATTATAAAAATAAGGAAAAGAAAAAATAGGAGAAAAAAAATTTTTTAAACCACAGCATGCCAAAATAGTCAACATAGAAGAGGGCTTTCAAGCATATGTGATGCTTATTTTCAAAGTAAAATGAAAATGAAGATGAATAGTGAGATAAATTTTTCAATTCAAATTTTAAGACTTCTTGTAGTTTCAGAAGAAAGAGACATTTCCAAAGAAGGTGACAAATGGAGTTCATCCTGCAGAAATCCTTGGTCAGGTCATCAAGAAAAGTGTAACCCAGGAATTCCCTTTGTCCTTCTCTTTTTCCTTTTACCTAATGACATTAGACATCATACTGTGTTGCATATTGCATAAAGTGAATTTATTTCTGTTGCAGAGATCTTTTTGAATTAAAGATGAGATGTATTGTAGTACTGACTAGGATAATCACCTCTTTCAATAATTATAAGCTTTGTTAAGAATGTCTGCCGTGGCATGGATTTTCAAGTTAAGATGTGTTGAATGAGTTACGTTTTCTTGTATGCATTAGGCATTTACAAACAAACAAAAAGAACTATTTGATAAATTCTCTTAATGAAGTTTTAGTAAATGTCACATTCCCTATATTCCAGCACTCTGATAGCATCTCATGTTTCCTCCAGCTGACTCTCTATCAACACCATCTGATCCCAATGAAAGAATTAACCCATTAACATTTTAACCTTTTTCAGCATGACACTAATATACACATACATACATCATGTTCCATAAATTTATATTCTCCATAATGGGGTATTTAGGTGACTCTAATAATATTTCATGTAATTTGAATAGATATTTTCTGAGAATGGAAATCATGTTTGGATAGCAACTAAAAACAATTCAACCTTTTCTAGTGATCTAAGAAAGGAACAGCATCAATAAGTAATGTGCACTAAATCATCCTCACATCTCTTGGTGATTGAATAATTAGAATTAGTAGCTACTGTCAAAACACCAGAGGCTGGAGCCCAGTGAGGGCTACTGAGTCAAAGGAAAGAGCTAGAAGATCAGAATCAGGCTATGTGCCAACACAATTTGAATGTTTATCAAATGATCACAAGTGGACTATTATGGAATGAACTCTAGTATGTGGAGGAGTCAGAGGATGAGATGAGAAACAAGTTCATAGGTTTTACAAAGGCTACCACCAGCCTTAATATGGAGACAGTGATGTCCATACCTGAAACTTGATGTATTTCCCTTGTCCCACATAGTTCACCAGCTAACAAAAACAAACACCACCACAAAATCCTGGGTCAACTGTCCCAGCAGTTCATTTCTGGAAAAGATAGGAACTGCTTGGCATACCTGGGCCAGGCCTTCTTCACCTCTATTCATATTGGGATTTATGTTTCTAACTACTTTCCGTTATAAATTAATATATCTCTACAGCTTTTTCACCAAATCAGAATTTCCAGAGGAGCATATAAATTGCCTGTAAAGGAAATCAGATAAAATCAAGACTGTGTCCACTTTTGATCTTGTTGTTTTGTACAGTGCCCAGCACCTGATTAGTGCAAATAGTAGATTCATTACCTAATGGCGTTTCATTTATTGGTCCTACCTGAAGTTATGACTGGTTTTAGTTTCCTTTACATAGGAACTAAATTTTGCTTTTCATGTTTTTCTCTTTCAGCTTTGTCCAAAAGCAATAAACCAATCCACACTATTATTCTAAACCCTCATGTACATCTGGTAGGGGATGATGCCGCCTGCATAGCATATATTAGGCTCACTCAGTACATGGATGGCAGTGGAATGCCAAAGACAATGCAGTCAGAAGAGACTCGTGTGTGGCACCGCCGGGATGGAAAGTGGCAGAATGTTCATTTTCATCGCTCGGGGTCACCAACAGTACCCATCAAGTAAATACTTCTATCTTCTTTGTTAACACCCCATGGTCAGCTCCTTCTACTATGTTAATATGTTATTTAATGCTAGCGGTTGGTTACACTGATGGAAATAAATGCCTTCATGGGAAAAGTTTAAGATTCTCTGGAAAGATCAATTAGATCAGCCATTTGTGGGTTGAAACTTGCTATAGAGCAGTATATGATAAGTTTAGATAGGACTAGAGACTACCGTATCAAAATCTCACAGGGTTAAATCCAGGGGATTCATATCATAAGGCAATGTATTTGTGACTTCATTTACTCAATTATCAGAGGAAGGGGATATCAGAGGAAAGCATAGAAAGGACTTTCTAAAATGGCTAATATATTATCAGAAGTTTCATTTCATAGATGATCCCCTGGGGCTCAATTACAGATATTAGGAAAAAATTACAGAGTCAGCATTTAAAAGGCAATTGTTAGGTATTGCAATGTCTTTCTCACCTCACCATTCTACCTCAGATATCTTGTTCACTTCTCCAGTCAGTGATTAGGTACATTACTGTGAATTTCTTAGGTGCTTTACCTGTGCCAGATTCAACACAAAGTAAAAGATATTGCTTTCAAATAACATGTATTCTCATTTAGCTAATCATCGATTCCAAAGAAAAAGATTGATATAATAAAGCTTATAATCAACTTCAGAATACAGTAAAATTAACGAACAGTGTAGCAAACTGTTCATAACAGTTTGGAAGTACACTTTGTGTATAGCTAGAGTTTTGGGCAAAGTCTTAAATGATGAGTAAAATGTAGAGACATAGAAATATAGAAAAAACAAAGGAGGATAGTCCAAGCTAAATGAGCATCAGAAATAAAAGTACACTATCAGGATTTAGTTTAATATGATAGAACATTATTGGTAAGGAAGTCTGGTTACAACTAGAGTAAAGAGGAATAATTAAAAATAGGTTTATTGGTAAAGTGGAGTGAGATGAAAACAAGAAGCATTTAAACTCGGTGTAGAAGTTTGGTCCACTGTTGATCTCTTTCCAAATTCTCTCCCCAGGATCACCTGTTAATATTTGGGATGTGGAATGGGGGTTCATACAAACAGGCATTCAACTCACTCCATAGAATCCATCACGATTTCTTAGTTTGATAACATACCACAGTGGTTTCCAGAGACCCTCTGTGTAGCCTTAATAATTATATATCACTGTTGGATTTGTAAAAAGTGAGTCAACAGGGACAAAAAACAAACCAAGCAATAGGCTGGAATTTATTCCAAAAACAATAGCTATGCAATTAAGAGAAAAACACAAAAGGAATATGAATATAATGAAGACAAGAATTTTTTTGTGGTTTTTTTTTAACCCCAAAGGGGTACAGCACAAATTGATTGCCGATTAATATAGAAGGGATTACATTCATACAGTACCGGGGGTTGGGTTTTTTTGCAATCCCCTGAAGTGTTTATGGGATAGAGCCTATTCAAGATGACTTCATTTTATGCCAGATGGCTTAAATGGGGCTTCTCTTAATAGGCCACCCTGTATTCCAAATGGGAAAGAAAACTTCTCAGGAGGCACCTCTTTGTGGCAAAACATCTAAGGCCTGAAAACCATTCACATATGGGTCTTGTAAGTAGCATCCTGCTCCGTGATACTTTGTGATTGGAGCTGAATAAAAAGCTGCATGGCTGTTTTTCTTCCCTTTGAAGATATTTTCTCTTGCATAATATTCAATGAAAAACATACAAGATCTTTGACAATTCATAGCAATTTTGCATGAGCTCTTGAGTCTAACCTTCCGCCCCATTTGGTAGCATAATCCTAATAAACACTGAAAAGAATTTTTTCCAACATGTGGATTGTGTCACATTAGAATCCTGAAGTTTTCACATCAAATGTAAATTATGTCTGGGTCAATTCAGATAACTCTCAATTATCCAGACTTAATTTATACTAAGCTTTAGGATCCTTTGGTGTATTAACCATTCTTTCAGAAGGTTGCAGTTCCTATAAGCAGCTGGCTGTGGCAATGTGTAAGTCAATTTGCTGTGTCTGACTGAATATAATGGTACTTGACCATGAGGACAGGCCACACCAGGAAGTCAAGCTGAAATTTAGAACTCACCAAGTGGATAATTCCAGAGGATAATTGAAAGTTGACTGTAATTAACTTCATGTTTTTGTTGTTGTTTTTAACTATTTGTTTGTTAGATTTGGGTTACAAGTATTCAGATATGTATGGTGCTGTTGTGAATATTTGCCTCATTCAAAGAACTAAACCTTTTCAGAGCTTTTAGCAAATAGTCCTCTGATGCTTTCAACAAAGGAGAGCTCCAATTAAAGAGAGGACTCATGTTCTCTCCACTTTTGAGACTATATTTCTTGTCAAACTGACTTCTAAGTTCAATTTCCCAAGGAATCTGATACTAAAAACAAAAGCTAAGGAGGAGTCTACTTCAACAAAAGGATTATATTCATTTACTAATTTGTCCAGTAAACAGGAATGCTTAAGATACATAGTTAGATTTAATAATATGATTGAAGCCTGTGTCTCTGTCTCTTTATTTTTACCTTAGCTTTGTGTGAAAAAATAATTATTACTGATTTTCTACTTTAATATTGTCTTTGTGTAACATTGTATATTTTTTCTTGTAATGATCACAAGCAAACATCTCTTCTACATAGTGTTTTCAGTCTATTCATTAGCCAAGTTATAAAACTGTGGCCTAGTCAAATCTATGGCAAAACCTCTTGATATTTTGTAAAACAATATAATTTATTTCTTCCTCCCCCTTTCTCCTTTCAGCTAAATATCAACAGTGCCACTTCTGCATTCTCTGTTCTCAAGGCACCTGGATGGTGACCCTGGGCCGTCCTCTCCTCCTCTTCATGCATGTTTCTGAGTGCATGAAGTTGTGAAGGTCCTACGTGTAATGCATATGTGATGCATCATCTTATCATATATTCCTTCCTATACATTGTTTACACTTCAACTACGGGGATGTTCCATGCAAACTTAAATTACTGTTGGCAAACAATAGGGGGAGATTAGACAAAAAAAAATTCACGATATTCCAAGTACAACTCTTCATCAAGTTTCTCTGTTAATGCCAAGATTTAACAGACTTAAGAACTATTGTTCTCTGAATGACGGTTTGTAAGAGAAATGTAAATTTTTTAGAACTCTTTGCTGTTAATCTATTTTGGCTTGTTTTTGTTTTTAAAAAATGGTAAAAAATATATATATACCTTCAGTTTTTTGTGTGATCCTGGTTAAAATGAATGATTTTTCATTGAAAGTTTTGCTGTTTAACAATTAAAGTGGGTTGATATGTGGGCAAAATCACTTATGAAAGTAGAAGCAAGAATCAGTTGGTTTGCTACCACATAAAGCTATGCTGTTTTTACTCAAACTGTGTAAACTGGAAAAATGCACATCATTTCTGAGTTTAATCACTTTAGGATATATTCACATTGTTTTGGTGAATTTGCTGAATTGAATTTTTTTTCTTAAATCTTCAGTCTCTTTTCTTTATCCTGTTTCTTTGTTCCTTTTATTTGCTTCCTTTTTTATTTTTCTTTTGTTGCATTCTTTTCTTACTTTTTTTCCTTTTCCTTTTCTTGGGTAGGCAGGCTAGTAGTGTGTGAGAAAAGAATGAAAGGGAAATTTGCATATGGAAGGTAAAAGGGAAATAAAGGTCTTTTGAAGGTAGCTAAACTAGCACTTTTGGTCTTCTTCAGGGCCCACAAAAAATGTTGTCAAGATTTTAAAGGTCTATAATTCTGCTTAAGCTCTTGTTTGGACTTAGGTATCCTAAATATGTCAGAGGAATTAGAATTGTTTAAACTTAAGATAAAAGAAATTTCCTCCTGTGTCTGCAGTGTCTTACTGATTGAAGACAGTTGCCAGGAGGATGCCAAGTTGATAGCAGAGGGAGTTTTATGTGAACTCACTCACCTCCGTCTTGAGGAATGAGAGGGTCACTTCTGCATCATCACTAGCTAGTTTTCTAGAGTTAGAGAGGCTTACAAATGTTTGCCATTCTATAAGTGTTTTGAACTTGTTCTTTGTGACTTGTGCTTTTTTAGCTTCTCTCTTGAGTCAGAGTATCATTATCTTCCTTCAAGGAGTTAGGATTTTCCAGTTTAAAACAAAAAGGGAAATGTCCTCGGTTTTCTTTCTGCTTCTGATTTTTCCTTTGTTGATTCAATTCCTGTGATTTTTTTTCTCTTCCCAGAAATGTTTTACAGTGCATGGAATCTCCATCATCGTTATTTTAATGATAGTAATTCATAGTCCTCAGATGCCTATTTTTAAAGCAGAAGCAAAAGAAAAACAAAACAACAAAAACGACCCTTCCTTTTTCTCTCATCTCACCTTTCTGTGTTGATTACTAATCATCTTAGATATTATTGCTAGTGGATGTATGGGTAGATGGGTTGAAGCTTTTCTGGTAATTATTACACAATTTAAAACAATATATATTTAAAATAAATATATACAGTAAATATATTGAGCCATGTTAACCTGCCAATGAGATCTGTGAAAAAATAATGGCCCCATTTTTCCCTTTTTACTTTTACCTTTTTGTGAAGCAGCTATACGTGGCATACATGTATTTAAAGGAAAAAATAGGTGTAGAGTGGTTTTTTTTACACTTTTAACTTAGCATGTGGTGTTGAAGTATTACTGTAGATCAAGTTTGTCTTCCGCACTAAGATGTGAGGAAATTGTGATTTGTTCTCTCCGCCACAATTGAATTACACATTTATTATCTTCTATCATTTTGAAACACTGCAGTTTACCATGGGACACTGTATATATTTCTTGCCATAATGGTAAATGACGGATTGATATATTTAAGAGTTAATAAATTTGTGATTTCTGCTGACAGTGAGTCCATCTTTATTTCTTCAGAAGAGGTACTGTATTTATGCATGCATGGTGCTGGCCACTGTCAAGGTCAGTGTGTCCTACTCTGATCTCATTTAGTACATAACAATTTGCACTTGGTGAGAATGGCAAGTGAATTGTTTTCTATGAGCAAAACAATGGTGTCTTCTGGGAAAATGTTGCTGAGAACAAGGTAGTTAACAACTAAGGTTCCTAAAAGCTTCTCTACACTGTACACTTCAATCCAGCTTTCATATGGCTGCTATTTTTTAACACAAACCTGACCTTGTAACACTTTGGTGTTATCATTCCTGGTGTATAGGCAAGCACTCCAGCTCCTGCTGCTCCCCAGCTTGAACTTGAGTATGGGTGGATGTTCAGCTTTTTTTGATTTGCTAAAAGCATCACACTTTCTCACTTGCCTGTTTATGCTGTTCATGTTGTTTATGTTTCTAACCTAGAATAAATTAGTCTTCCCCTACTTCTTTTCCCTGCTTCTTACTCTTTCCTAAGATTCAGCATAGAGCATCATGCTCTGCAGCAAACCTTCCCAGGCCCCTATTCTGGGCTTCCCTCTCAATACTTGCATAGTACATTGTATTTACCTCTCTGGCCAACCACATTGTTTTAAAACTATATTTCTATTTGTGTCTCCACTACTGCAGTATAAGGTCTCTATTAGCACGAACTGTGTATTCATCATTGTATTCCTAAACCCAAACCAGGGGCAGGTGTGGAGATATCATTGATAAATAGTTGTTGAATTGAGGCCAACCCCGATTGATAACAGAAGCCTCGAGGTATACTCAGATAGTCCTGGATTTAATTATGGGTTCTCTCACCATTGTCTTGATGCTCTGAGCAAGGTACCTCTTCCCTCTGAACCTCAGTTTCCATATTTGTAAAATGAGAATAAACATACCAATTTAATAAAGATATTGTGATGATTAATGGATAGAGAGTAACTAGAATGATATTCGATAGATATTAATGGCAGCAGGATGACTATTCTCATCACTGATACTAATTTTCTATTGTTATTACTTTTTTATTCGGGAAGGTATATAACTCTTGTTTTGCTGTTGGACTGCTCTCTTTATGTAGTTTTACTGTTACTGCTGAGGATATATTTGGATTCAAATGTCTCAGCAGGAGGCTGAGAGACACCAAATGAAGTGGTCACCTAGCTGAAAGTAGGAAAAATGAAATGTAGTAGTAAATCAGTATATTCTAAGGAAATTTTCAAGGAATATTAATCTTGAGCAGCTCAAATTTCTGATCTTTATGTAAAAAATTATAATTAAATTAAGGGTAAACAGATGACACAGCTTTGGAGTAATTTCATTGAATAAAATTCTGACTTCTATGAACTTTTCATGGCTGTGTGATTTATCAGATTTCTTAAAGGTGGGAATGTACAAAAAGTTTCCAATGAAGATCAGCATACTAGACCATGTGTCCATGAGCTGAACAACAGCCGTCATAAACCACCCTGGCCTGAGAAAGCAGCAGGAAGCATTTACAGCATTCCTACTTTTCTCTCAGACAAAACCCATTCTCAGAAGAGAGCTGGAATGTTCTCCTGCAGACTGGAGTAGGAAAAGATGATAACAGATTAAGCAGCAATTGTACTCCAAAGGCTTTATAACAGGAAAAAAAATTACTGTTTTGTCCATAAAAAGTGTTTTTATGTTTTTTTTTTAATGTCACCAACATTTAAGAATTGGATGGGTTATGTAAAAGTCATGATTTCTGGCTTAATTAATTTGAAAAAGTGTAAGTTTTGCCCCACTGTTTCTGTGTTCACTACAGCAACACCTCTTTCAGCGGGGAGCAGGCATGCCCCCATCCCCACCAGGCACAGTGCTTCATGCCTACCCCATGAGTTTGCTGCTGCTCCTGTGGATACTGAACACTTTGACCCCTTTCTTTTTTCCTGTTTTCCTTTGATTGATTGATTGATTCATTCATTCATTCATTCATTCATTGATTTGAGACAGTCTCACTCTGTTACCCAGCCTGGAGTGCAGTGGCATGATCTTAGCTCACTGCAACCTCCTCCTCCCGGGTTCAAGCCTTATGCCTCAACCTCCTGAGTAATTGAGATTACAGGTGTGCTCCACCACACCCAGCTAATTTTTGTATTTTTATTAGTGATAGTATTTTACCATGTTGGCCAGGCTGGTCTCAAACTCCTGAGCTCAAGTGATCTGCCTGCTTGGTCTCCCAAAGAGCTGGGATCACAGGCATGAGCCACTGTGCCTGGCCAGCTTTGACCCCTTTCTTAAAGCCAAAGAACACTTATGTTGGCACCTCAGGCCCCAGCGAACAGGCATGGGCATTAGTTGTAGAGGGATTGTTCTCGGCTTCCCCAAAACCGTACTACTTATGGAAGAAAACATGTCTTCCTGCTAGGCCTCTGCTACTAAAAAGCTCGGCACTATTTTTACTTCGTTTTAAGAAGAAAACTGAGGTCCACAAAAATAAACACAAAGCACAAAGTTTTTCTATTGTACTATTTAATTTATTAAAGGAAGATCGCAGGTATTTTACAGTAAAATAAGTTTATTTTGTTCTATTCTCAAAGTCTTGAATGGCCAAGAACTGTTGGGTAGTTTTTATTGCTGAGTCTATAGGCAGGACCAGGACAAATTGTGAAATACACAAATTCTAGTAACTCTCTATCGATAACCAGATGCGTGGAAACTGCTTTGGGATGTAATGATTTGTTCTGTGGCCTGACTCAATTACTAGTCTGGGCTTAACCTAAGTTAGCTCTTTACAAGTCTAGTAGAACCTAACTCACTTGCTCCTTGGAATTTCTCACACTGCTGGAAACCCACAACCATGGACACATCATCTTATCTGCTTGGGCCATGCTTGTAATCCTACGGCTGAATGTAGCTGGAAGAACGTGTCCCTATGCTGCCAGTTCTTGTTATATATTCATGGCCATTCACCTCCCTCAAATAAACCCCAGAGGCTGCCCAAAAGTCGTATGTCCCTAATCCATTCTCTCTTCCATTCTTCTATCAACTATTTCAGACTTCACTTACTTTTCCCACCTCCAACATTTCTCCCCCTATCCTCACTCAGGTGAGGACCTCGCTTCCTATTTCACCACAAGAAATGAAGTAATCTCTGCATCGTGTCAGGTCGTGTACCTGACAAAGGCCACCACCTCTGTGCACCATATCCCATTCCCCTCATACCTGCTCATAGGTATTGCTCTAGCAACTCTCCTCGCCTTGCCTTGTCATTATAAATAATTTCCTCCACACTATATGTATCCACCAGTACCCCATTGCTTTACAGCCTGATTTCTTGAAAGGCTTCCCTAAATTGCTGTCTGAAATTTCTCTCCTCCCATTCTCTCTTAAACCCATTCCAGTTGCCCTTACCACTCCACAAAACAGTTCTCAGAGTCACCAATGACTACCATGTCGTTAAATCTAAGGATCCATTTTCTGTCCTCATTTTTACTTCATTTCAGCAGCATTTGGCACAGTTGTTCACTGTCTCAGTCTTTAAACATTCCTCTCTTATCGTTCAAACGATACATTTGCTTAATTTTCCTCCCACCCTTATAGATGCGCCTTCCCAGTCTCTGACTGATCCCTTTCATCAACCTGACTTTTAAATTTGGAAGGTTTTTTGTTTTTGTTACTTTTTTTCTGCTTTGCCTGTTTGTTTTTGAGACAAGGTCTTGCTATGTTGCTTAGGCTAGGCTTGAACTGGGCTCCAGTGACCCTTCCACCTCAGCTTCCTCAGTAGCTGGGACTATAGGCACATGCCACCATGTCCAGCTTTACTGTTAAATTTTGGAACTCATCGTCATTCCCTCCCAGGGTAATTGCATCTAATTGCAATGGCTTCAAAATATTTTAATGATTCTCAAACATATATCTCCAGCTTAGATCATTCCCCTAAACTCCAAACATATATTCGGCTGCCTATTGGAAACTACATTATATATCTAATAAGCATGCTGAATTAACATGTCATAAACTGAGCTCTTGATAGTCTGTACCAAAACCCTCTTTTACAATTCTTTTCATATCTCAAGGATGGGCAACTTAATTCTTCCATTGATCAGACCAGAAATCTTGGCGCCATTCTTAATTCCTCTCTATTTGAAATCTCTTCAAAACCTAACCAGAATATGACCACTTCTCATGATACTGTCAGCTGCCTCCTTGTATCAAATCATCATCATTTTACCTATATTACTGAAATATTCTTGTAACAGTTCTCTTGGTTTCTGTTCTTCTCTGTCTATTCTCAAAGCAGCAGCCTGAATCAACTTGTTAAAATATGTCAAAGCATGTCACTTCTCTGCTAAAAGTCATCGGATAGTTTCTGCTTTCACTTAAAGTAAGAGACAAATAAGTCCCTCTAGCGGCCTTTGAGGCCCTACCTGATGCCCCTCTCCCCATGACTTTCTCCCCTTCCTCTTCTGTGAACATGCCAGCGATGCTCCTGTCTTGTGACCTTAATACGTGCTGTTTACTGTGCTAGAAATATGCTTCCTCAGAAGGGCAAGAGGCAAGAGGCTGGCTCCTTCACTTTCTTATTTTGTTACTAAATAAAGTCACCTTTTTGGTCAAGCCTTCACTAATAATCCTATCTAAAATTTCATACTCCCTCTCCCACCGGACACTTTGTATCTTCCTCCCCTGATTTTCTTCTCCTTGCCACTTACTATTTAACATACTGCTTTCCTCATTTTATTTACGTTATTTATCAGTTGTCTCCTCCCCTAAATTACACACACAGTGAGAGCAGGGATTTTTATCTCTTTTGTTCACTGTTGTATTCCCAACTCCTAGAAGTATATGGAACATAATAGGTGCTTAATAAATATTTGTGGCTGAATAAATAAATGAATTGCTCTCTTGCTTTACAGATGAAAAACCTGAGGCTCCCAGCATATGTATGATTTGTCTCAGAGTAATCCCAAAAGCTGTAAATTGCTTATGTAATAATCAAATGAAAAAG